ATTCCGCGATACTCGAGTTTGTATGGTGATAGAGGCGTCAAACTGCATCAACACCGCTAATCTCGATTCCGTAGGAGTTCTGCCAAGTCAAGCGCTCGAGAATCATTTGCATGCACGGAATCAATTAGGGTTTAGCGTTAAACTAGACCCAATTACATGTCAATTATGAAGGATTAACTTGGATTTTCAACAGAATCGTTCTTATAGATTAGAGGTGTTCAATATGCTTTCGGGTTGCTGCTGTAACGCATTAAAGTCTATAATAATTACGCATAATCGGTCTTCTAGAGTACCAAAAGGCTAGAAGTACTATCAATATATCCCCATCTATCTCACCGATTGACTCCTCATTTATAGTCGGCAGCGAAAAATTGGAACACATTTCTGGGGAAGAAATATCGGTCCGGAGGAACCGTTGTCCGTTGCAAAAGCAGGGGAAGGAGTTGGAAAAAGGTCGAAAGGTTTTAAATGAGAGGAGGAGGCAGAGAGAGTATAGGGTGAGTGATAAGCTAGCGCTTAATGTGGCACCAGATTGGTGGGAATAAACCAGCCCTAACATATAAAATGTATATTGCTAAGTCAAAAGAACATTCAAATAGCCAGGGTGGAACGTGAAGAAAAGTTGTGTGTATTAAAATTAGTCTGCCCACTTTCGTTTCTTGGGCGATTGCCGCCTAGGGCGCCAACAATGCGTGTCAACGAGATGATAGGTAAGCTCCTCTAGGCTTTCAAAGTGCGTGGTGCACGCTGGATGCTTGCAGTCGAAATCAAGTTTGAGTTCTTTCAAATGATCTTCAATATGGGAGTACCACTTTGTTGATAAGAGGACGAATTGTAACATTCTCTTTTCCGGTTTCTTTCGCTTATCACCCAGACAAAACGGACATAGCCCTGGCTTTATGGGTGCGTTCCGAAATACCATCGGATCACAACGGAGCAAATTGCCTGGATTATCAAGATGTTCCTGGCAATGAGTCCCCCACTCCGATTCATTGGTAAACCATAGGTCGCATTCAAAGCATATTTCTGCAAACCCGTGCGTGGTTCTGTAATGCCTTGAGTAGCAACGGTAGAGATGTAACCATTTTCGGTGATCCTCAAATCTATTTGAGTCAGTGATAGGAAAATTGTATATTCCCATTGCTAGCACGACATACTCTTTCATGGACCTTCCACAGACACAAGCCTGGCCTAGGGGGCTGAGGCTATCGAGGTATGAAACTGTATTTGTCTCGCTGCAGAGAGACTCTAATGCCTGTAGGATTCTTCTTCCATCCAAACTGCGGAGGCTGAGCTTACAAGGCAATTTGCGAGCCAAGAAGTCTCTATGAGGCATTACCTTCCTCCTATAGTGAAACATGGTCTCTGTGTAAATACTTCCATGTTGCTTCCCTGATTGCGCCTGGACCTTTCGGAGCTCTTCATTATAAAGGCTCCGTTTTTCATTATAGGCTCGCTTTTGCTTCAGTTGAATTTCGTGTTTTTCTTCCGGTAAGGCGTTTAAGAGTAGCGAGCTCAACTTTGCCATAGTTTGGTCAAGTGCATGAATATCTTCTCGGGCAAGAAACTCATACTCGGCTTTCGCAGGAAGGAGCTGTGATAAAGCGGAATTGCGGTAAAGACCCATTCCCCGCCGGTTCTGGATATGCTCTTGCCGGCTAGCAATTCCGAGGTAGTTTGCTGGTCCATCAACCTCACTAAGAGGATGTGCGTACGACTTTCC